GCACTAATCATTAGAGAAATGCAAATCAAAACTACAATGAGGTATCACCTCACACCGGTCAGAATGGCCATCATCAAAAAATCTACAAACAATAAATGCTGGAGAGCGTGTGGAGAAAAGGGAACCCTCTTGCACTGTTGGTGGGAATGTAAATTGATACAGCCACTATGGAGAGCAGTATAGAGGTTCCTCAAAAAACTAAAAATAGAACTACCATATGACCCAGCAATCCCACTACTGGGCATATACTCTGAGAAAATCACAATTCAAAAAGAGTCATGTACCACAATGTTCACTAGCCCTATTTACAATAGCCAGCACATGGAAGCAACCTAAGTGTCCATTGACAGATGAATGGATAAAGAAGATGTGGCACATATATACAATGGAATATTACTCAGCCATAAAAAGAAATGAAATTGAGTTATTTGTAGTGAGGTGGATGGACCTAGAGTCTGTCATACAGAGTGAAGTAAGTCAGAGAAAAACAAATACCGTATGCTAACACATATATATGGAACCTTAAAAAAAAAAAGTTTCTGAAAAACTTAGCTGCAGGACAGGAATAAAGACACAGACATAGAGAATGGACTTGAGGACACAGGGCGTGAAAAGGGTAAGCTGGGACAAAGTGAGAGAGTGGCACGGACATATATACACTACCAAATGTAAAACAGATAGCTAGTGGGAAGCAGCCGCATAGCACAGGGAGATCAGCTCAGTGCTTTGTGTCCATCTAGAGGGGTGGGATAGGGAGGGTGGGAGGGAGACGCAAGAGGGAGGAGATATGGGGATGTATGTATATGTATAGCTGATTCACTTTGTTATACAGCGGAAACTAACACACCATTGTAAAGCAATTATACTCCAATAAAGATGTTAAAAAAAAATTAGGGGATTTTCCCCTCTAAAATAGCTCTTATTCCTTAACTGATCCCTTGGGTTTTTTTCCTTTCCATTTCTTTGAGATATAATTGACATATAGCCACTGTACAAGTTTTAGGTGTACAGGATAACGACTTGACATACCTACACTGTGATATGATTATCACAGTTGAGTTTAGTTAAACTAACATCTATCACCTCATATAGATACCAGAAAAAAAAACATTTTTCCTCGTGATGAGAACTTTTAGGATCTACTCTCTTAGCAGCAGCTTTCAAATATACAATATAGCAATGTTAACTGTAGTCACCATGCTGTACTTTACATCCTCAGTACTTAGTTATAGCCAGAAGTTCATACTTTTTGACTATCTTCATCCAATTCCCCTTCCCACCAATTCCTTGTAACGGCATATTTTAGCTCTCTCTTACATTTAAAAAAGAAATGCTCTTTTCTCCTTGAATTCACTTTCATTCAATTCAAATTTCATATTCTCATTACGTAATTATGAGCAACAGATATAAAAAGTAAAGATGCCATTTGATTTCTTCTCGCTACTTACAATAAAATGTTAGAAGAGAGGTGACCAAAGAAGCAACTGTTAAATAAAAAGGAGCCAAGGCTATTTACTTGAAAAATTAAACTGTTTCTCATTCCTAGTCTCCCTAGATGGAACATTACATATTAAAATTAAGAAATGGTTTGAGGGCAAAGAGCAAGCACAGGTGCTGTCAGGAAAACAGTCTTAAGATGAAGCCACGGGTGTAGCTTTGTGAAGACAGGAAAATTCAAGGTGGTGCTGTCTCACTGAACCTTTCAAAAAGATCAAAAACTCTAAAAACAAAGGGATATCTCATAGTGGCCTTACGGGGAACCTAAGGCAGTAGAGGGCTTTTTGTGAAGATATTTGCGGATATGCTTTTATCTAATAGAGTGGATTAGGCTCAGTAGTTGTGGCGCATGGGCTTAGTTGCTCCGCGGCATGTGGGATCTTCCCGGACCAGGGTTCGAACCCGAAATTTTCTTCCATGATCTTTTTTAAAAAAAAACTGAAAGCAGTCACTTTTTATTAACTGACCAGATTACAAAAATAATCATGGTAGACATCTTAGTTCATCCTTCTAATAGACGTGTTGATCTGGTCTACCCTACTGCCAACATCTCTACCTTCTAAAAAGTGGGTGGTCTTTTTCTTCACTCCACCTCATGAAGATAATTTGAAGGGCCATAGGAAGGCGTTTGCTTCTTTGAAGCATTTTTCAACACTACAGATCCCGTAAATCAGATCCTCCATGCAGATGACGCCTTATTTACCAAGAAATCAATTAATCAATGTGTTATCTGTCAGGGCAATTTGCTTCTTTTTTTTTTTTTTTCTGTACATGGGCCGCTCACTGTTGTGGCCTCTCCCGTTGCGGAGCACAGGCTCCAGACGCGCAGGCTCAGCGGCCACGGCTCACGGGCCCAGCCGCTCCGCCGCATGTGGGATCCTCCCGGACCGGGGGACGAACCCGTGTCCCCTGCATCGGCAGGCGGACTCTCAACCACTGCACCACCAGGGAAGCCCGGCAATTTGCTTCTTATTGTTTTGCCATAACTACGCTTGTAGATCAGTTCACCTGCTGACCTCAGGTTTGGGTACCCCCATGCAATACATGGCTCCACAATCCCCAGCATGTTAACTGAAGTCCATCATCTTTCACAGTTACCATCACAAGTGACTAAAATAAATTTACATAATCTCACTTTACCCTCACTTTACTTATTCCCTACTTATTCTTTAGGAAGTAGATTATAACCTAGTACTGAAGATGACATCCATCTCCAAGGGATTCATATGTCTTTCCTGAATTACATAAGTGGTTTTGACATTGCCCAAGTGTTTATTTATTATTAAAGAGAGGGAAAAAACACACATTTCAAATAAAGAGCCGGAGGTCACAATAATTGCCGGGACAAAGCAAGTCAGTAATCCACCTGAGAAAAGAACCCATGTCTTTGATGTTATCAATGGCACTTTCAATGACAGAGTCTCTTTAACATGAAGAAACTATTGAGTCTATAAATACCTCTTCTGGAGCACTTGTGTTAAATGGGTCATGACTGGGAGATCCCATTACTGGCGTAGATGACAGGTTTTTCTCCAGATCGCTAAAGCCCTGTGCGTCCAGCAAAGTGGAGAAGGAACTGGAAGGGAGCAGGTCTTCAAAGTCGCCATCTTGGCCTAAGCAACGACAAAGCGGAAAGTGGACACCAGCAGCTTTTCATTTTTTACTTTTGGAGGAAGATAAGAATCCCAATTATCTTGAATATAAAAAATTTTCTGATCCCTAGAAATCAAAGAGTCAACTCCTGGCATCACTTGAAGAACAACAACGTGGGACCTAGGAAACGGCATCTTAAAACTGTGAGCACCTAAGGCCCAGGGACTCTTGGGCCACATGAGTATCCAGTAGTGGTATTAGTGCAGGTATTAATTACTAGTGGTTTAATAGACACAATCATAGACTCACAGCATTGATGTTAAAAGTTAACTTAGTCCAACAACCTTCCTGTAATTCTGTGTCAACATTTGGGGCTTTATAAATTCCAGTTCAGAAATAACCCAGCTGAGGAATGCCAGTGGTACAACAAAACTGATTCTGAACAGCAACAAGTCACCATTTAGACAGCTCCATTTTCATCGCTACTGTGCTCTTGAAAAAACATAGAAAGGAAAAAAGGAAAAGAAGAGAAAATAGATGACCCTTTGATCCCTCTTAAGAGGATCCTTTTCTGCCATTCATTTCATTTTCAAGTAGAAAGAATGGCCTAATGGAGAGAAGGAACCACATAACCAGCAACTTTGAGAATTTTTTTTACATCTCTAGAAATGAAAAGGATTAAGTGCTGAACAACAGTGCCAGATATTCTGTTTTTACAAACAGAATGGTCCTTCCAACTATTCTCTGAATAATACAAAATGGCAAATCATATACTTGTTTAAAGATACTAACTAGACATAGCTTCTTAATTTAGGTTGTTATTAGATTTTTACTCTAATTTTATTAGAATTTAGGTATTCTTAAAATTCCCTGAGGATTGTCTAAATAAACATAAATCCTAGTGAGAAATCACTGTTTACATAACTCTTCAATAGAACAGGACATAATTTTCAATGGTTTATAAACATCTATCCTGCTGTACACGGTTAAAAACTATCCTTTTTAATTATATACTTATATGCACAGAAAAAAAAGGCCAGAAAGAATTACGTGAAAATGCCAGCAATGATCACGCCAGTGCAATTTTGACTGACTTTCCCCCCTTTTTATCTGTTTTCCAAGTGTCTTACAATGTAGTCTAATTACAGAAACCAATCTGCTCTTCCTTGATTTTTAAATATTAGAATTATAGTGTTGAGATTCTAGAAAATCAAACAATGTTTTAAATGCTATGACTATGTAAAAATTAATTACTTGAGAATTTGCAATATTCCTTAGAAGAGAGACTCCTGTGAAGGTTTAGAAAACGGTGAGTGGTAAGAATTGTCATAAGTCTACACTGATAATTAGAGGTTCATTTGCTCATTCAGATATTTATAAAGTCTTAATAATAGGCCTTCTGGACAAAAAGATGAAGATCCATTTTTTTCAAAGATCCTGGTCTAAAGCAGCATTTTCTTTCTTTGTAAACCCATCAAGATTAAAATTTCAAAATCCGAGTGTCCCATGAGTACCTTCCAAAAGGCTTATTTATTTCCAGCACTTACTTTTATTTTTTAATAGTTACTGATATGTGTAATTCCAGGTAATTTCTTTTTTTTTTAAACATCTTTATTGGAGTATAATTGTTTTACCATGGTGTGTTAGTTTCTGCTTTATAACAAAGTGAATCAGTTATACATATACATGTATCCCCATATCTCTTCCCTCTTGCATCTCCCTCCCTCCCACCCCTCTAGGTGGTCACAAAGCACCGAGCTGATCTCCCTGTGCTATGCGGCTGCTTCCCACTAGCTATCTATTTTACATTTGGTAGCCAGCACTTACTTTCAAAGCAAATAACCCCAACTAGGCAGTGCTAATGAACAAGAGAACTTTCAAAGTTCTTCACATTTTTGTGTGTTTTGAATGACCCCCAAGTCTTTGCCACATTTGTGGATGGCCAACTGGCCCATGAGCAGATAAAATAATAATAAATACAACAAAATGCATACTATCTTTACCTAGATGTTCTACAGATTTTTTTTTTTTTTTTTTTTTTGTGGTACGCGGGCCTCTCACTGTTGTGGCCTCTCCCGTTGCGGAGCACAGCCTCCGGACGCGCAGGCTCAGCGGCCATGGCTCACGGGCCCAGCCGCTCCGTGGCATGTGGGATCTTCCCGGACACGGGTTCGTGCCCCGGTC